CTAGAATGGGTCATATAAATCTGTCAGGGAATCGTAAACCGACAAATTTTACACAGCTCGGTGTCAATGAGTAGCGGCAGAAATCTGATTAGATCACTTCCTGCTCGCATTCAACACTGATAATATGGAAGAGGAGACAAGCCCACTTAGACAAAAATTTGATTGAAATCAAATTTCCATCTCGGTTCATATATATATGAGAATCTAGCGTAAACCTCAAAAAGTGTAACTTATCCTCCTAAATCGAAAATTCTGTATTCGATTCTCAACTTAAAAGGTGACGTCCAATTTTCAGAAACGAAGGATCTTTCACTCCGTGAAAACGACATCCCCTGCTGCATTTTTGTATGTGGTCTTTCAGGTGAATATAATATACTTCACCACTGACCCAATTATTGTGTGCAAACAAGACCACATGCAACTGTGGATCTAAGTGCATCGGTCATTTGATATGGCTTTTGTCTAAAATGTTTCAAGAATGTGGGTTATGATAAGGAATGTGTTTGCGTGCTTATAGAAGTGTAAGGGCAGTTATTACTTTCTGGCTGCCTACCCTCCAGAAGTTGTTTCCAACTCAAAATACGTCAAAAAGGAAGGAACATTAGCGTCCTGTGATCCCAGGGACCAGGGAAAAACTGCTTGAAGCTAGTCACACACACAATGTCTGTTTGAAGTAGATTTTGGAGTTGTGTTCTTATTGAAATCTTACCACCGCAAGGCAATTTTAGTTGTACAATTTTCGTGGTCAGTCCTTCTAAATCTCCCTCTTCAAGACAAAGAGTAACCATAGCTGTCTGGCTTGTCATCTGAAGGAAACAGCCTACTGTCGTTACATCCCTCCTCACCAACAATACGACTTCATCCACAGACCCCTAAAATTGCATGACCAAGTTTCACTGTGCAAACAAACCTTCTGTTACGTCACAACCTGCAGGAAAATTCACTCGAACCAGCTTGGCTCGTTCGTTCAGTGCGAAATAGTCTTCCTGAAGAGAGATAAGTAGCATGCCTGCGTGTGTGAATACACAAACTATCATTAGATAAGAATTTCTGATAATTTTCATTGTTGAAAACAGACTTTTAACTTTATGAAACATCTGCTATTAAAACAATCTACTCAGTTGATACATTTTCTTCTCTCACCTCAATGATTACGACTACTCAATAAATCTTGAAAATTTAGAAATTTTCTCCCTCTTTTCTTTAAATGCATCAAAACACTTAATAAATAGATTTGGCGCGAAAAATAACAAATTTAAATTACAAACAAATCAAAGATAATAATGACAACAATGATATTTAATCCAGTTCACTTCATTGAAGTGCTTTCTTTTGAACACAAGTACTAAAATGACGTGTATTATGAATGATGAGGAGGGGGTTGAGGTCCGACTACCTTAAAACACAAGAAGAACCGTTCGAAAGTTGTTGTTTTTTTCAAATATTCAGTGAAGTTATTCTCATGTATCTTTTTCTCTTGATAATCTCGAATAATGAGGTTTGAAGTGTTTTTGAAGGATAAAATGAATTCATGTCTAAGAGAAAACAAGAGTTATTCTTAACAGAACTGTTTGTAGTTTATATATATATATTATATATATATATTTACACAATTGTTCCAGACATCTTTATCAAAACAAAAGACTTTTCCACATAAATTTGTCTATTCAACATGACTATTCACTTTAAAGGGGTTGGTATTTACGTTAGCGTGGATTACTGCAGATATGTCATGCTGATGAGTGTTAGCATCAACTTTTCTAGATTCGCGACCACATTCCAAAAGTCAGTACCAGCACTGAGGATCTTGTAGATAACTTGTAGTTAGTTACCGAATATAAAGTTGGTATTAACAAGTTATTTAAAATTTTCTACTGCATTCTGACAAATTTCCATTTTGTGTTACAATTTCGTCGTCAACATTTAACAACTGAAGACGTCGAAATCCAGCTGCAGAAGTTCGTACAGACCTGTGGCATAATAACGTAGTAGTTAAAAATTTGACAAGCCCTCCCATCGTACTAAGTCTTCAACAATTCGCCACTGTTTTAACTGCCTCTAATTGTTGCATTACTTCTCTTCATTTTATCTGGTATTCAACTTAGTGTTACATTTTTATGCAGATTATCAACTATGCATGCTTTTGAACTATGATTCTGATGGTTCCAACACCTGGAGATTATTTTAAGAAAAACTTCAGTGTTTTCAATGGCGATTACTCTTCCTATATATATATATATATATATATATATATATATATATATATATATATACTGAGCTCAAGCTATTGGACTTCTGCGTATCTAAACAGTCTACAAACGTACATAAGCTACTGACAGATTTGTAAGTAGGCGAATTAGATTAAAAGAATATTTACTGAACAAAGAGCACTTTTCGATAACCTGCTTTGCATCAGGTTCTACGGTTCTATATCCATCCACAATAGTGAATGAATTAGTGCCTTTCAACAACATTAATGTTGTTTAAATGACATCGAATCAATAATCATAATATCAATGGATTAAAGTTTGATAGCATCAACATAACAATGCACTGAATATCTGAGAAATTAAGAAAAATAATCATAATACAAGTTCATGAATGTGTAGTCTCCACTGAAGGTCATCCAGGGCACTGGTAGTGACTGGGTTGACTTCCTTCTTCTTCTTGCCTCCACACAGAGTACTAGTTGTTTAAGGCGAATTGCGATGGCCTCGGCTGTTTGAAGTATGCGGTACCTCGATGCTGCACCCGAAAGATGGTATAGAAGGATTCTTCAATGCTGTCTTTGTGGCCAGTTTGGACCGAGTGTTCTACTATACAGCTGTTGATGCCTCTCCCTACACCTTTATTTAGCCACAATGCTAGATGTTAGCTAGAGAGCACAAAAATCAAGTTCCAAGAGCAACGGCCAATATCACTCACTCCCACACAAAAGCAGTCGAGTTGGTAGATGCAATTAGAAGCAGCTAGTCTAGTCGAGATACTTCATCTTTCAATTGAGGAATCACCATTCGTCGTGTAGAGGATAAGAATTGTAACTCACCAGCATTAAAAGCTCTTTGAACTGATTCTCTTAACTTCTTCGTAATTATTTCGCTGCGAATACCGCCCTTCAATTGCAGTCTTATATTTAAAGGCTTCTTTCTCATGAATAGTAAGTGCATAGTCCTTCTCAACTTTCTTAGTCATATGTTTCCTGATGACTTTGTCTGCATAGCTATTTTCAATCAATCAAGGTGTCATATAATATCCTTAGTTTATCTTCAATTACCTCTTCTGAGCATGTAGCTCTAACCCTGTGGCTGAGTGTCCTTACTAAATTTCTTTTGTAGTGGAGCAGAATAAAGCTATGAATACATTGTCCTGCCCATGTGCTTCACCTATGCAAATTACTCTGTATACTATCATGTGGTTTTCCTGTGAGGAGGACATCTAAGACGTGTGTTGTTCACTGGCAACTAAAACAACATTTAAACTCAAATTGGCTTGCTCATTAACGAGACGTACTGGAAAATGCTGATAAAGTAAGATATATACAAATCACTCCAAAATCAGAGCGGAAATCTCCTGCACTCCGTATAAGGAAATAAATTTGTATTTTCAATACCAATGTGAAATCAGTCTATGCTTATGCATAATCGCGTCTGCATCACCAAAATCATTTCCAACAGACAGCTGCAGACTGTTATTAACCCCTGCGCCATCGCTGGCTGAGATGACCAGTCAGAAAGGATTAGCGACAAGCAACTCTGGCAGCACAACGAACCAATCCAAGACCTATTGCCAAACAAATACGCAGAAGGCAGTGGAGATAGATCGGTTACACATGCTGAGGAGACATTTGGATGACATCGTGCAACAGACCATCGCTTGAGTGGAATCTGAATAAGAGAAATTCCGAGTTCATCATCCATAGGTGATATGGAAGAGGTGAAAGCTTGTTTGCAATCGTAGAACCAGTTAAAGAGAAATGAAGATGTACTGTTGAAGCCGAATGTTCCATTTTGCTTCTCAAGGGAACAATTATGATAATCATAAGTTCAACCGATGCTGACAAAAGAATCAGTCCTTCTCTACGGGTCAGGAACTTGCACTGCGTGTCACGAAAGAGATTTCCAACAGCGTGTAGCAAACTTTTATCAATAACTGCCTCCTCCGCTGGCTGACTCCATACTGAAGATCAAATGGCTGGCCAGAAAGAATTAGCAACAAGAAACTCTGGCGATGAACAAACCAACAGGCGAGAGCCGATTGCTCAAAACATATGTAGGAGAAAATCGAAATGGATCGGGCATACGCTGATGAGGAGTCCATCGAATGACACCACACGCAATGCAGGCCATTGCTCAAGTGGAATCCCCATGGGTAGCGATGAGTGGGTCGTCACTTTGAGGGTGACATGTTGGAGATCGTGTAGCGGGGAGGAGGAGGAGATGAGAAACTTTGGGCAATCGTCGAGCTGGCCAACTGAATAGGACGGCAGAGAATAGAAGAAAGTGGAGATGTGTTGTTGAAGCCAAGGAAATAATAATATTCAAGTATTGGTTTCTAGGGATTTAGTTGATTGGTTACAGAATTTCATCATCAGCTGACATCGGTTAGAGATCATTGGAAAACCAGCCACAGGGAGTACTGGACAACTGTTTCGTCAGCCTAGTTTGGGACTCTTCATCAGTACGCACCCACCACAGGGGCTCGAACCCAGGACCTTCTAGTTACAAGGCCAAAGCCACTGGGACCCGATCCAATGACCAGCCCATGAATTCTAACTTCTGCCAATTCATGATACAGCCCAACCACTAACCAATGTCATCGCTGGCGAGTATTTGTCCTCACACCCGATCAATGTCAGAAGGAAAACTACTCAGCACAGATTGAAAAAAAAATCAATTTTTATTCTTTAAATAGGATATACAAATTCTACTATATATATTGCACATTATTTATTGTTTCTTTTCTGTAAAGGTATAATAAATAAAAATTATAAAGAAATTCGACTTTAGAAAAAAAATCAAAAACTCAAACAAAATCAAGTGGTGATAGCAGTACAAGGAGAGAAGGACAGAGAGACAACACAACACCAATAGATGGGTGAATATACTCTATAAATGCATATATGTATATAATGTGTATGGTGCCATGATGAAATATATAGATATTGTGTGTGTGCTTGTATATATATAAGGCTTAACAGATAAAACCTAAGGTTAAAAAAAGAATACAGATTATGCATAAATTACAATAATTCCTCTATCACAAGGTCATTATCATTATCATGATGATAACGATGACGATGAGTGGGATGTTCATCACCACGGTGTGCGTTGATCTCGTCTACCGGATCACCACTACTACTATTGATGATTGGATAATAATTGATCGATTCATCTAGATAACAAATAATATTCGGTGTTTGTAGGCCAGTGTGATAACGTGACTGTTGAACTTCATCTAAATCTAAGTATTCTCGTGTGCTGTCATCATCATTATTAGTAGTAGTATTAGCAGCAGCAGGAGGAGGAGTTGTGGTGGTATCAGCAGTGGGAGGAACAGGAGTCACTGTAATAGCATTGTTATAGATATTCTCATCAATGAACTGAAAAGAAAAAAAACATTTGGAAGGATAATTCATCATGGTGATTCAAATAAAGCGACAGGAACACATTTTTTTCCTTCACGTACCCCATTGGAACATAGGGAGGGCTTCAAGCTAGTGGCTTGAAGTTTCTGTAGCAATGTTTATTTTACAGGATGGGGTTGCTAGCCAGCCTCATGCCCAACCTTTCCTCTTCACCAGCATTATTTCTGGTTTAGCAAGGTAAAGGAGTGCGTCTGTGGCCGGGGATCGAACCCCGGACCATGTGCATGGTCGGTGAGCATTCTAACCGCTATGCCACCGACGCACATTGGTATAAGTATAAAACGTGGGCACCGTGGTGGTAGGGTATAACTCCAGTATGGATAAAATTTGTATTTTGATAAAATCACATACACACACAGTATAGTGTTATACAGTAATATTTACTACTGATGACCACGTTTCGAGCACAATTTATTACTACTGCTCATCGTCATCATATCAAGGCATTACTCACTCACACACAACTTTCTTGCTTCATTTATATACATAAGTAAAAACTGATGATTAGACATTTGAATAAAATATTCATTCAGACATCTATAAAACACAAAATAATTGAACAAAGAATATTCTTTTCGATAAATTCCTCTTCCGGCTCTACAACTATATATTATTATTATTATTATTATTTTGCAACTATCCGGTCAAATATTCATCACAGTTCATATTTATATATATATATACATATATATTTATATATACATAGAATATTCTAGAATAGAATTCAAAAAACAATATTACTGTTTTGTTTGTTAAGTAAGATCACAGTGGAATTACAGTTCATTAAACATGCTTAAATTATAATAATAATAAAGATATAGTAGCAAATATAATATAATTAAGGAAATTTCTAAAAAAGATTCGAAACTAGATGGCAAAGGTAAGGACAATGTCTGAATTAGCTTCTTTTAGACTCACAAATTAGGCTTCTTAATGTGGATCCCAACGGCCTCAGCAATATGTAGTAGTCGAACTCTTAAGATGAAGTTAAGATTCGTTGGTATGCGGTAAATGACTCTGAAAGCATAGTTAACATCAATCCTGTGTTCTATATCCACAAGATGCGATAGAATAGTGCTATGAATAGATTTTGTTTGTCTTTTACTTAACCACTTTGCAGGGTAATGTTCGGAAATTCGACGAGAAACACGCCTAACTGTAAGGCCTATGCGAGTAACTGGCTCCATAGGAGCAGTTAAATTGGTAGATACACATGGAAAAGGCGAAATTAGGCAATTTATCTTTTACTCCCGAACGCAAGAGAGAAGTGTTTTTGAAGACACAGAGTAATTCTGCAACAGGGAATGCTCGTTTCACCGCATTTCTAAGGCGCTGTGTTAACATCTCACTGATGTTATCTCCGAGGAACTGAATTTGTAAGAATAAGGCCTTTTTAGGAACTGCTGATACCTTAGACTACCTTGATTTTAGATTCATATTCTCATCAATAAACTTTTCTGGATAACCATTTTCACCCAGCAACCGTTTAATATTATTACGTTCCTCATCAGGACATTCATCCGAGCAGATTGCTCTTGCTCCGCGAACCAGGCACTTTATCAGATTTCATTAGTATTTCAAGGGCACGAAGATGATAAAATGAGTATAATGACCAGCTGATATAGGTTTTCTATTGTGCCATCCTCTTTTCTGGTCAGTAGGACGTCTAGAAATGAAATACTAGAGTCTTTTTCTTTCTCACTAGTAAAATTTATTGCTGGATGAACCTCGTTAAATTTGTCCAGGCAGGATGTTCTTTGCTTCCTCCTCATCGTTCATAATCAAAAATGTGTCATCCATGAACCGACAATAGAAACCAAGTTCATTAATAACATCCTTCAAAGGCCTATTTTCTAATTTCGCTAGGAAAATGTCCGCTAGAATGGCTCCTAGTGGTGACCCCATTGTCACACCATCGATTTGTCTATATAGTTCCTTATTAAATAAAAAGTAAGCATTCATGGTCCATTTCAAGAGAAGCTCTTTTATAAAAGATATATGAATGCCGACATCGATGCTTCGTCTTATGAGTTCTTCGCGTACAAAGTTCACTGTTTCCATAAGTAGTACATTGGTGAATACGAGAGATACGTCAAATGATATCATGAATTTATTATCAACATTTAAATCTTTTATCCTTTCAACAAATCCAAAAGTATCCTTTACAATGTGTTTCATCAACTCTGCATGAAGAAGCTGTAAGAGTACGACTAACCATTTGGCTACGGGATAGTATGGTGAATTTAACATATCTAATACTGGTCGAAGCGGTACACCATTTTTGTGCTCTTTAGGCGAGCCATATAATCTTGGTGTGAACGTCCCAGTGGGTTTCACTGATGTATATATATGATTGTAGAGCCAGAAGAGGAAATTATCGAAAAGGATATTCTTTGCCCAATTATTTAGATTTTTATATTTGAATAAAAATCAATATAAGATGAGAAAGTACATTCGGAAATAATGATATTAGCGTTATCAAACAAATACATTAGGATAGGAAATGAATAATGATCAGATAAAACTTTAGGCCTAGAATGAAGACGAATACTGCCTAGGATTCTGTGAATTTTGATGTTTGATATTAGTTGCTTCATTGCGAAACTAGGTGTCTGAGACACAGGATATTTTTCAAGAAGTATATGCATACCATGTATGTCATAAAACAATTCTGAACAAATATCAAAGCTTAGAAGTTAGCGAATGATTATCTCTCCGATTCTGTTCTTCTAGTCTCTTTTGATGCAATCATATAATTTTGGCCGAATTGTTCGGAAAGAAAACCCACTCAACTGCACACAAACACATCGTAATTAGCCACGCTTATAGGGTGAAAGCTGATGGGAACACTTAACTGTACAAAATCAGTAGATCAGATGGTTTCGAGACAGTAATCAGTTCATTAGAAGTGGATATAATTGATGTGAGATTGTTGGAGGCAAGCAACAGTAAGCCCGGAACATAGATTTCGTGTTTTCAGTCGCTTGCCAGCAAAGCGTATCAGCAATCTCGAAGGAAATAATGTTCCCTCTGAGATTTGAGATTTGTGTCACTCTGTGGTGCCTTCAGAGGCGTATTCACTGGACTATTTGGGCTCACAGTTTAATTTCTGTAGGACCGTAATAGATGCATTGATTGGTTACTAATGAATCTAATGCTTTTTTAGGGTTAGGGTTCAAGGCTTCCTACCAATTGCGTTCAACCATGCAGCATCAATTCACAGTGCATTGCCATAGTCAGCCACATAGCCTGATGATCACAAGGCAAACTTAACTGATATAGAAAGAGTGAAGAATAATTCCATTATGGATAAAAAATTTATTTCATTAAAGTATCGCAGTATTATATACTAATATTTACTGATAACGTTTCTAGAACAATTTATTGCTCATAATCATATCAAGTTATTCACACAACTTTCCAACATAAGAATTTAGCTGAGGTTAGAATTATTGACTCCACCCACGAAGATAAAAAATTCAGAAAAATACTCAGCAATAGCACTGCATGCATGAACATACAACCACACAATGGTGTGGGTGGGACAGAGTCAAACTTCTAAAGACTAATATAGGTAGGTGGAGAGAGAGGTTGATTACTGAATCCTGCCTGGTTCATCGAGTGTACACCCAACACATGCTCAAAAGAAGTGACTCATTGCAAATACCAGAGATATGGAAGATATTATTACCAGTCAAATCAGGGAATAATAATTAATGTTAAAATGTATTCAATTCAATTCACATTATAACATTCTAACAAGTTATTTATTTACTTTACTATAAAAACATCTTATTACCCATCTGATTGTATTTCATTTTATTGATAGCACTAATATTATTTCCGAATGTACTTTCTCATCTTATATTCATTTTATTCAAATATCTAATCATCAATTTTTGCTCATGTATATAAATGAAGTCAGAAAGTTGTGTGAGTGAATAATGCCTTGATACGATTATGAGCAGTAGTAATAAATTGTGCTCGAAAGGTGGTCATCAGTAAATATTACTGTATAACAGGCACTGTGTGACTTTATCAAAATACAAATTTTATCAAAAATGAAGAACACATTGAGCAGGATACAAAAAATTTTACACCAGTTGTATACAACCATAAACAATTTGATGTCTGCATACAGAATATTCAAATACTTCTGTGGTGAGAGCTGTCTACTAGCCAAATTGGTAGACAGTAATTTACGTCAATGGTTACGTTCCCAAGATTTGTCGTGAGAAAATGTGAACAAAGATTGATTCAAAACCGACTACAGCAGACTTTGCGTAGGCGGATGCAGTTAACATATAGAGGATTTGACATTCAAGAAACAGTCACAAATAGATGAAAGATTAACTTTACGTGAGAAACAACCAATCGGAAGACTGTGTTTGTTTACTTAAATAACCATAGTAATGTACATGAAAATATATATGCGTTGATTTCCTTAATAAATTATCTGTTGTCTGACTCTTGCCTTGTGTAGTTACACTTCCATTCATTGAAGATGTTAATGAAAAGTTTAAAAGACTGATTAACAGTTATTGAACAAAGAATATTCTTTTCGATAACCTGCTCATCATCAAGTTCTACAGTTATATATCCATCCACAGTAGTGAATGAATTAGTGTTATTAACCACATTAGTGTTGTTTAAATAACATTGAATCAATAATAATAATAATAATAATAATATCAACGGATTAAAGTTCGATGACATCAACATAACAATAAACTGAATGTCAGAAAAATCAGAAAACCATAAGAATACAAATTCATGAATTTATAGTCTTCACCGAAGCCCAGTCAAGGCAGTGGAAGTGACAGGCTTGACTTGCCTTTTCCGCAAATAAAGCACCGGTTGTGTTAAGTAGAGTCACGATAGCCTCTGCGGTCCGGAGTTCGCAGTACCTGGATGTTTCTGGTAATTTATTTGGTACTCAGTATGGTTAAGTAAAG